AGTGGCTTCCGGGGCCCTGGCTTCCCTTCTCTTCGCTCTTCCCTCCTACGTTGCAGAGGAAATCTCATCCACACCTGGGCTTCCACGTCTTATTATAATGGATAACCTCCACGTTGATGCACTTGCCTCTGCCTGGGAATCCCACACTCAACGTGTTAGCGTTCTATTTGCTGCTGTAACAGATTGCCACCCACTTAGGGGCTGAAAACAGCAGATGCATTAGCTCACAGAAGTTCAGCACGACCTCACAAGGCTAAAGGCAAGGTGTCATCAGGGCTATGTTTCCTCATGGAGGCTCTGGGGGTGGGGCTGGGATTTCTTACATGTTACTATTGTACTATCACATGTTACTGTCCCCCCTTATATATTCACTTATCTGTCTCCATTAAGAGACCAGGAGCCTCTGGAGGAGATTAAAGGCCATGTCAAAAGAGCCATATCATGTTCATTTTCCTCCCTTACCACCTACCACGGCATCTAGTGTTCAGCAAATAGCCAATAAGTGAGTGGATCACTGGATACATGGATGGGTAGGTGGCAGGATGAAGGACGGCCTATAGACATGAGCAAAGCAAGAGGAGGGTATAGCTCAAGCGGTAGAGCGTGTGCTTAACATGAACAAGGTCCTGGGCTCAATCCCCAGTCCAGTCCCTCCATTAAAAAGTTTAAAAATAAACCCAATTACCTCCCCACCAAAAAACAAACAAACAAAGAGGAAAGAACTAGAAATGGGCAAAGCAAGTCCTCTGGCAACCCACGGACTTGGGGGAGCTTCTTAGAAGCTGTGAGCCATTTCTTTCTCACCTTTGACCTGGCAATCTTTTGCTCCAGACACAAGCCTGGTCTTATACACATCCATGCACGTGATGGTGCCCTGGTGGCCACTGAAGATTCATATGCAAGCCCCACTTTTCAGATCCCAGTACCTGCAGGAATCAAGCAAAAAAAAAAAAAAGCTTTTGAGACTCTCTGAGGACCATCCTGTCTAGGGCTCCTTTAGATCAGCAGGTGGCTGGAAGGCGGCAGTTTCATGAGTCCAAGGCCTGGATCTGATTCCCGGTTGCAGCACCTAGTAGGTGTGACTTTGGGCAAGTTGCTTCA